AAAATCCATAGTTGAAATATTTTTAACTAACATATCCTGACCTAACCTAACTTTACCTAACTGCCCCCCAAAGTCAGTTTTTGCAGAAAACTTGAGTCAGGTTGTGTTACCTAAAATATTTTCAATGAACCCTTTTTAAAATGTATGGCTGAAATATTTTTTGCTTACATAACCTGACCTAACCTAACTGCCTCCCAAATTCAGTCTCAGCAGAATCAGAAATAACAGTGCCAGTGTCAATTCACATCTTAATTCAAATGCACAGTTGGATTTGTACCTGCATAGAGAATAAAATCGGACCGGTGGTAAGGCTGACGATAGCATACCTCACCCGCAGCACAGCAGAGCTGTTGGAGAATTGGAGTGTACAAGGGCTAGGCGCGCGTGAAAGGGAGTATGCACTGTTTATTGTAGATGGAGCTAGTAGTCTGGGTCCCCCCAACTAGGATAGCTCCGAAAGTTGTTATTGTGTTGAGCGAATACACGTTTCTTATCTCAGCTCCTCGTCGAAAATTTTCTACTGAATTGTCGGTAAGTCTGTACATCTTCCACAATTTAATTCGTTCAATAAAATATTTCGTGAAAGCGAAATCTGTTGAAAATCAATTTAATTAAACGGTTTAGCAGTTGCGAAGCACACGCACCAACCGCCAAGAGAAGTTTAGTGGTTTCTAACCTTAGAGTAGGTGTCGCTCTTCGGGTCCACGTCAATTGTGGCCAAATAATCCGGTTTGTCGTTGGATGGTTGGATGCACGGAACATAAACCAACTTTTCCCTGGGACCGTTTTTCATCGCGTCCAACGGAGTCGGAAATCCGCATTCCGCATCGCAGCAACTCTCTGAACAATAAAATTTCAGATGGGAAAAAACGGTCTTCCGATTTTCGTCGGAATACTTCACGCCCAGGTATTATTTCTCTTATTTTTAATCCTTCGGCTAATCAATCCCGTGAATATTCCGTCAGTCTCATACTCATTCTGCTGCACTCGTGAAGTTTCGCCAGTTTCCTCGAAAATGAAACCCTTAATTAGGAAAGCACCCTCTCGTATTTCAATATACTGTACCCAGAAATATATGTTTTAAAAATAGATATTTTCGCTATCGTCGAGATTATAGAGAGCAATCAGAAAATCATTCATCAAATAAAGCTAATCTTGAATCGTCTCATTTCGATTTTTCTGTCACTTATCCGCATGCGAACTTCCCCAAAGCAGTATACTGTAATCTAATCACCTCCGAAACATTCTAACAATTCTTAATTTTAAATCATTATTAAACGTGTCCTCTTAAATGCGTTCTTCTTGGGAGAAAAATGCAAAATGCGACATTCGCTGGAAGCAACTATTCTTTGCATTGAACAAGTTTTAAAACATACTGAAAATCGACAAAACGATTTTAAATTGAAAATTTACGATTCGATGATAGAGCTTGAATCACACAAGAAATGATTTGAAAATTTCATACTAACATTGGTACTTATTATTTTATCGCCTACATATGTTATTGCCGTTCAAACAGCATTCTTATCTGGGAAATTTCTGCTTACTCACCATTTTTCGGTGCCATACTCTGTTTTCGTCTCTAACCAGTCTGTGAAACGCGACAGATAACACTGAAATACGATGTTCCTGAAAGAAAATTGAGGATTTATCAATGATGGACATGAAAATAAGTGAATGTACGATTAGTACGTTTTGCCAGGGAAAGATAAACCACGCCCGCAAGTACATATTCACGAACATCGAACGAGGCGCATTCACATGTACACGATTTGTCGATTTCTTTTTTCTTTTAAAAGATTGGACTGGAGTTGACAATTTTTCGTAAAGCTTCTGAAAAAAGCCAAACGGAAAAATACAAAAATTCACGCGCAAGAAACGAACAGTACTGTATTGTACTCAAGATCTGTGACTTAGATGACATCGAGGCGATGATTTTCTTCTTCGAGTTTGCGCGAAAGCATCAATTTTAAATAATAAAAAAAGGATATAGCCTGCCAAATACGTTTTCTTCTCTCCATTCTCTTCAAAATTAGTTTCTATGCGAAAGTCTATTTTCTTTCATTTCATGGGTCAAACAACGATTTAAAGTGCAGCACTTGTAAAATCACGAGAGAAAGTTGTTTCCACTGCCGCGCACACACCACTGCGCGAAGCACTGCTTGAACCCGGAACGAAAAGCTTCCTTCGGCCTCCGTTTCTACGTAGTGGCTTGCTTCTTGTTTCGATTTACTGTACTGTACTGTACTATATATATCCTTCTTTTGCCTTCTAGTATTTTCTTCAATCTCCTTTCTCGGGAACTGGCCTCGAGGCAGGTTGTTTCGAAGCACTACACGACGCATAATTCCAAGGGTTGACAACCCTTTCTCCTCATCCTCCGCGGCCATCACTTACGAGAGATGCAGCATGTGCTTCTTATACTGTTTTCTGCATAGGGTACGTCACACGCAGATCAACAGTACAGTATTATAATTCATTCAGAGATGATTAGAGAATATCAATAGACAACCAGTAATAAACAATTTAAAGAGGTAGTGTAATTATCGATAGCTGTCTTTTTTCGGTTTCGGATTGGAAAGAATTCTCGGACTCTTCGCTTTACCAGAATGAAAGAAACAGTATTTAAATCAGTGCTTCGACGTTTTACTCTCAGACGAAGACTTTATTCGTTTAAAACTCGCATAATAAAAGTAAGGCGATCAAAGAAAGTTTTAAAACTAACGAAATGAAAATTGATGAAAAGCGATCTAAGAAATCAACTGCGGACGCCCCAACCTTTTAAAAGACAATTAAGAAGATCTAATTGCGTCTATGGTACATTTTTCGCTGGAATGGCAATGAAATCACGTCAGGCCTTGAATGATCATTTTTCTATTCTCGAATCGTCGTATTTCAAAATTATTTTTTAACCGTGATATATAACGCAAATCACTCGGATAATCGAGGCCCGACTGTGATTTTGGTTGGATTATCGCAGGGGGTTTGCATGGTTTTGTACTTCTATCATTATCACAATAGAAAAAGCCTGCCCCCCCCCCTCCCTCTATTTTATGAGCATTTTCAGCTTCTTTTCAAATAAGCATACGATTATATTTTAAAGTCAAACGATTCTTTTTCCACCTGGGTTCAGAACACCATCACTGGACACGAACAAAGAGTTGTACTGTATATAGATTTTTCTCGTAGCACCAACGAAACGCGCACTTGAATTCAGTAAAAAAAACACACAAAAGTACTGTGCAGTACTGCACTGATTTAATGCGGATAACACTGACAGGTGCGGCTTGTTTTGCATTCTTGCATGAAAACGTAATGCGAAATGGTGTGATTCACTGCTCGTATAGTTCGTTGCCAAGAGAAGTCGAGCCTCGGTGTGACGAGAACTGGAAGTGAATGAGCAATGAACCGGTTTGTCAAGTCCCTGATGATGCGGGTGTCTTACTCTAGCATGTTGCTGAGGGCTGAGCAGACACTGTTTTCGGGATGACAAGGCCGAAATATTGTACAGTGAGCAAGTGCAGATAAAATGTGAGAAATAGATCGGGTTACCTGAAGAAAGGAGGAGGGAAGATAAGGTTAATGCATTTTAAAACAAAACCCCTTTGAATAACCACTATATATACCCCCTCCACACCGGATTGATTTTATGGGGATTTTCGCTGGGATTTCGGTCCATGCACGTGGTTGAATACTTGAATTTCCTTATTAATGCAAACCTGCCTATTTCATTTTTTTTTCTTGTCTAGGTTTTCTTTTTGAATCCCCCCAAGAATGAGGTAGTACGAAAACCTCCCGGGCTCAAAAGATTTTTCTTCTGACATCTTCAAATCAAATTTTGAAGGGCTTTTAATCTATTCGTGTTGGGGACCCAAGAATAAAAGCAATAACACTTAACTTGATACCTTTCAAGAGGAATTGAGTCACGAATTGGGAAAATGTAAACTTGCCTCCACAAAAGTTCGGCATTCCGATAATACTGCACATTTATCCGGCAGTTTAAGGCCCATTAGAATATCATTAATTTTACCTTCCTGTAATTCTCAATTTTTTTTCTATATGCAAGAATATTTCCCCAAATCAAAAAATTCCCCAAGCAAAATTTCCGGTGTCCCTCCAAGTTTGACTGCACACAGAACATCCCTCGTTAAATTCCCTCAAATGTCGAAATCCTTCAAATGCGTTTGCTTTAAGCTTTTGTGTATGAAAATTTTGTTCAGAAGGTCGGAAATAAAATCCTTCGGTTCCCTGTTTCTTGCGTCAAAAGCCGTCAGCAAGCAAATGTGGGAAAGTAATTAGACTGAAGGCTAGTGCAGGTCAATTTTACAAAGGTTTTTTTTTATTTTTTCAGCTTGACTTGGACGTGTCTTACTTAAGAATTGTCTTTTCTGGACTACCTTTGGATTCAACATTAAGATAGCACACAAATGAAAATATCAGAGAACCTCTCAATGTAAAAATGCCTTTCAGATCTATGCGAGATATACTTTTTCAAGAATATTTCTGAATTTTTGCAAATATTCGGCGGCTCTCAAACCCCTCGGTAATTTGTAAAACGCAGATGATTTTCCAAAAACTATATATTCTCCCCGCGATGATGAGAAAAAATGTCAAATTTCCATCTTGGATTAATTTTAACTTGGGCGAATAAAAAAAATCAAAACACTGGCCGGTAAACAAAAAAATCATTATCCGTAAAAAAAAATTAATCTTCATTTACTCAAAATATTGCTTCGTAAAAGTCAGTCATTCTTATTGCGCTTCTCTTCACATTCGGAAAGTTTGACGAGTTTTTGAAAAATTGCTACAGGATGTAGTAAAAACTCTTTGCTCGTTTTTATTTCAATTTCCGAAGCTTTCGAAGGATCGCATTTCTTCCGGATTTAATTCAATCCCGAGTGACATTCGGTCACCGGATGCTCCGCAGGCATCGAATGGCACCAAAGCATTGTGAAAAAAACTTTTCCCGATCACAAAAAAACGTGCTAATTTCTACACCTAACGATTGTCCCGAACAGGAAACAATAAACATTTCTGGCAATAAACATCGAACAGCTACCCAACAGAAAAAAAGATCGGATTCTTTCTCTTCACAAGTATAATTTCCGCATTTCTGAAATGCGTGTCAAAAATCAGCGAAGAACAAAATATAAACGCGAAGAAAGATTAATGGCCATCGTGGAATGCGCAAAATTTCGGTCGTTCGTTTGGCAAGCCCGTGAGCAAAAAAAAAACAAAAAAACAATTGTCATCACTATCCAGTTTCCCGAGTTTTTTGTTCATCTCGAATCCAAAAACAAATAAAAATAAAACTGCTGCTGGTTCAATGAAAAGTTTTCAAAAGCATTTTCCGCAAATGGGGAATTCGGGCTGACCTTCTCTTGTTCTATACTGCTGATATATCCGTCTTTTTCCCTCGAATGCTTCTTCCCCACATAAAGTGTCTGGAATGTATAACATTTACATTTTGACGACGAGAATCACTTTGCGAGATGCACCGGATCTGGCAAACGACGCCCATTTACCCTTGGGTTGAAAAGAAAAAAAAACTGAATTGACTGAAGTTCACAGAAACCGCAGCTCAGAAGTTTGAATGAACTTGACTCAAAAAGATAAAATTATTCCCAACACAGTAACTAATTGTTGCAATTTATCATACAAGGACACAGAGCATCATTCCTCACATGCTCATCTTGATAATTAAGTTCCAACGGCGGATATCAATAATGAGCAAACCAAACTGTTCCTTTCTTCATTCATGAGAATAGTTGTTTCAAGATGTTAAAGAGACATGTTTCAACATTTTATTCTTCAGAGAATACGTTACTGATAATGTAACTATGTTTTAGATTCAGAGAATATTTATGTCATACAATCATGTTTTACAAGTTACGTTCGACAGGCTAATAAGTAATAATCCATGATCCATATTATTGATAAACCGAAACACAGGTGGAGTTTCCACAAAAAAAAATGTCTACGGATTCGCTGAACCAAAACAAAGATTTGATTCAAAATCTGAACCCTCTTTTTTAAAACCCCAATTAATCTTTGAAGTTTAAGTTCAACCTCTTGTACGCTTCAAGTTGATGAAATTAGCCTTTAATCAAAGTTTAAGAAAGCCTGGACAGGGGTTCCGTGAATTGGTATTTTTGCGGTTGCCGACGCTTTTTTTTTCTTCCAAGGATACAGCTACGGAACATGGGGAAAAATCCCAAGAAACGTCGCAATTCGGCAAAAACGCTTGCCTCGAATCTCAGCTACTGGAAACACTGTATTTACTCAATGACACAGGACGCACTTTTCGCAGAAAAAGCTTTTTTCTTGAAAACAGTGGTGCAAATCGAGAGGTCTATTATTATTTTCGAGGTACAGCGATGCCTCAAAAGTCAAAACCGGGCTAATTTGGATCTTTAAGAAGAAAAAAATGGAAACAAAAATATCTTCCCAGTTAAAAATCGTAAAAAATTAAGCACAATTCGGTTGCCAGCCAACTTAAAGTAGATGCAATCTGTATTTTGAAGCAAGGCAAACAAATAAATTAATTTGCGTTTCGGCTGCATTTTTCTCGAGAAAAAAAAATCAGAAATTCGTCGCAGCCATCGTATGTCTTTTTTTTCTTTCCGGAAATGGCTGCTTTGAAAGATCAGCCACGGCCTGTATATATTCGCGTAGCTGTGATGAGTTGATAAATTTATTTTAAAATATATTTTAAACTCATCATGAATTCAAACCATGCTGAAAAATGAACTCTACTGTAAGAGTTCAGCTTGAAACCTAAGGATCTTATTCGGGATCACATTGGTAATTTATTTTATTGCGGCTTATACGCAGAGTTCGAACTTTCTATAAAAATGGCTGCTTTAAATCAGTCTGCTGCCCATAGTTGCGCAAATACAGCAAATTCAGAAATAAAAGCGAAAGAAAAAAAATAAAACAACGATACGTGGTTCCAACGATTGTCACACAGGGTATTTTTTGGCGGCGAAAAAAAAACAAAATTGGTTATGCTCATTAATGTACTTTTGATGCTGATTTGGCTTCTCAAAATAAAATGAAAATTTTTGAAATTTTATGGGGAATTGGGGGCTAATGCAGCTTCCTGTCATCGTCGTCAGGCACGGCATTATTGTCGTGGTGCCCAGGAACGGCGTCCACGGCGTTGCTGATCAAGTCTGGCCCATTGTCCAAAAGTGGCGGCGGCGGGAGAAGCACCCGGTTGCTCATCGCCGGACTCGTCGGCACATTGGTCGTCGTCGCCATCAACTGCGACGTGGCTGATGCAGCAGCAGAATTCGACACATGCTCGACAGCAGTGTCGTCGTGATGAACGCCGAGCCCGAGGGCCAGATGCAGATCCGGTCCAGTTTTCGACGCCATCTCGTCATCCAATAACTTATTCATATGGTCGCTGTTGGTCTTTGTCATCTTGCTGCTGCTGCTGATGCCCGAATCTCCTCTCTGCTGATGATGATGAAGGTGTTGTTCGTCCGGATAATCGTAGTCCTCTTCGGCGTCGTTTTCATCATCTTCGTCGTCGTCGTCATTATTGTGATGGGGATTGTAGTCGCCGAATTGGGTGTTGATGCCGCGGATTTTGTCGCCGTGGGTGCGGAGAAGTTCCTGGCGGACCCCGTCGGGCACCTTTTTGCGTCGCACGCTGGGAATGAATTCGGGTGTGTGGCTCGAGTCCGGGGTGTCGACTTCATTGCTCAGCTTGCGATGCAGGCTGGCAGATGGCGTCTCTTGGCATTTGGCGCAGGTGCAGTTGTTGATGATCTGCACGTGCTTCAGCATCGGCGACTTGCCTTCTTTGCATTCCAGCGCCACCTGAGGGTGCCAAAAGGAAAAAATAATCTCGTTATTACCCAAGTCCGCCGCGTTTTTGTACAATTCGGTCTATATGCCAGGGTTTTATTTATTTTTTGATGAACTGCGCGGGTTACAATGGAATTTTGCAGGAGTTGCTTGAAAAGTAATACATTTTATCTAATTTAAAAGGCGTCTTTTTTGCTGAAAATTCAGTCTGGAAGAAAAAAAAAAACCAGGTTGCGTCTCATATCCGCTGGACTCTTACACTTGTTAAAACATCTAAGATTCCACGGTTAATTGCACGATTTCTTATGAAAAACTCAAACCTGTGCACAATCAAATACCATATCTCAAACACTAATATAATTGAACGATATAAATTGGGTTTAGTAACTGCTGCAATTGCTTTAATTCTGGCTTATGCTGCAATTCTTGTTACTAATATTTTGTGTTCAATGTCAGGGAAAGAAGGGGTGTACGCATACACATCAGTTGTGCAGTTTTATATTTTGTGAAATGTATTTTCTTTTATTTTTGTTATCCATATGCAGCTATTTTCTCTGTTTCCCATTCTGAAGTGATTGAATGCCTTTGAATGGATTTGGGTTGGGTGGGGAGGGGATTTGGATGTGGAAATGTTGATTGAACCTTGTGAACGCTAAAAAAAGCGGAAAATAAAGCTTTCTGTTCATTCATTCATTCATTGAAAAAATATCAAGTACAGTACAATCCTTAGTTTTAGGGCACAGAAGTTGAGATAATGATACAGTAGCTGTTTGAAGTGTTTGGCAAAATTAACCTGAAACTAACCAATTGATTTTCAACTTTTGATATTTTAAAAATTCAATGCAACTCAAGTTTAATTTTACCTCTTCACGATTAATTGTTCTTGAGGAACAAAAAGGGGGTCCTAAAATCGACGATGGCTTGTTTTCGATTAAAAAGTATGCGTCAACTTTCAATAGTTTAAATGAGCTCATTTCTCTTTTGTCACGTGTAAATGTCAATCACGTTATCATTTAGCTTTTTCTAATACTGTCGGAAAAAAATCAGAAAGCAATACAAAAAATCCAAATGAGGATAAAATCCCAAGCATCTTTGTTGAGATCCTTCAAACCACTGTGGGTAATTATTTAAGGTCTTCGAATCAGCCTTCTTTAGATATTTTCATTTTAAAATTATAAAACTTATTTTTTCAATAAGTTCCATGTGTCCTTGAGGAAGACTTTGATTTTGCAGAGAACAATTTCGATGAAAATGTAGCACAACATAAGTCGCACGCCCCAGATTTTTATGATCAATAAATTCAATATTTTAAATCCAGGCGATAAAAGTTTAAATTTCAGGTTGAGTAGAAGCTGAAATTGTGAAATAAAGCCCATAAAAATCCATACTTGTAGTTTCTTGACACATTGATCCTCTGATTCAAAAATTACTCGCAAAAACATTTTAAAATTTGTGGAAAAAAATTCACCAGCCTAAATCTCACACGCCTCATTTTTTTTTGGTACTGTGTAGATTCCCAGAAAAACGTCGTGCGTGCTGGTACTCCAGAAATACTACGACTTCTACCGACCTAGATAGCATCCACCTCAATCTCGACCAAAAAATAAATAAGATAAAAAAGTACATTGCTTTGAAAAGAGCGACTCTGGATCAGTATCACGGATACGTTGAACTCGCAAAACCGTTGAGAGACTCATGTGAATAAAGCCGGTCAAGGCTCGACTCGCAGCAACTTCCCAACGTCGCCCGAGGGCACAAAAGATTTACCGACAAGTGATACGACAAGCTGGAACGAATTGTACTCGAGCTTCTTCTGCCCAGGAAAGACACAAAAGAGCAAGAGGGCGGACTCGTTCCTATAACGACGTTAGACCGAGGAAAAAAAAACCAGAAAATTAAATTTAAAATAAAAAGAAAGGAAGAGGTCGACACAAATTACGATGGAGTAAGGAAGTGATTTGCCCCGCGACTTCGAAGGCAGGGCAAGACACGGTTTGTAATTTGCGACCCGGAGGCGAAAGCGGTGAGTTATTTAAAGCTGTTGAGGGATCCCGGCGTTTGTTCCGGGGTCTTTCAGAAATTTTCCCGCACAAGTTTACTCATCCTTGGAGTTAATGGAAAATGAAAATGATTCTTCGGAGGATCCCACGGTAGCAAACTGTTACGACGAACATTTTGTTCATAACAGAATTCTTGCTCACGAAGACATTTTTTTGACGGTCCGTTTCGAATTTTTGCTACAAAATTTCGAAATGCAGTACAGTATAAAAGATTTGTTGGCCTTTCTAGCTTTATTGTGATGAGGTGTGACTTCTGTGTTTTTTGTTGTTGTTCCAAAACTCTTTTACGTGGACGAATAATTGTTTAAAATAAAGATTAATTTGATGAACTTCAGCAGCCGAAGACTTGAAATAAACATAAAAAATTACCTTGATGAACTTCAGCAGCCGAAGACTGAAAAATCTCATGCAGTATTGTAGTGATCGAACTTTAAGCACCTAAATCTATTACCAGCTTCATCCAATAACCGTAACTTCACAGTAAACTGAATATAATTTTCTCATCTGTCCAACAAGGTTGAAATATTTCGATTGATCTGGCTAATATCTGATCAATCTCTATTGCCCGAAAAAACTTTAAAATCGTGTGCATATTTTTGTTTGTCTCGTCCGAATAAACCATTTCCCATAAAATAAACGTCAAATTGAATTTGGCGACTTGAATTCAGAAAGATTGCCTAAAAATTCAACAAAGATGAACTAAAATCTAATTTTCAGAAACAAATCTCACCAGATTCATTCAGTAGACGTAAATTTACTGCATAAAGTAAATCCACTCAACTAACACGGACAAACAAATTTAACTCATTTAAAAAATCCAGTTATGTAAAAATGACTCAACTAAACTAATATCGTCCGTCTTTTTTTTCCAACACAGCTATGCAAAATCTGAGACAGTAAACCCGATTAAAACTGAATAACTTTAAACTTAATCAAACCGCAAAAAAGATACATTACTGTACTTGTCACTGAAGGGTAAAAATAAAATCGTCGAGCAGTATTTTCTATAAATGTTTCTATATATCCGTCCTCCGCGGAAAATGTATCTCCTCATGTAGAAAAGCGAGAACTTCGACAATCAATTTTGAATTCAATAATTCGAATGTCAAGAGAAGACGACATTCCGTTGAAAAACAAAGTGAATTGCTAACACAATGATCTCCGTGACCCGATTCCATAATAGCGTACCAATATTGATTTAAGACTCAACCCGTTGAACCCAATTGTACGCACGGGTCGTCCTAACTCACTTTGAGCGCTTATTTCGTGCCTAGAATTCTCGTTGACACTCGAAGCTAACAAAAGCCCTCGTTAAACTGATCAGCCATTCTTCAAGTAATTTGACTGCGAAACAAGGGAAAAAATTGGAAGGAAAAAACGAAAGAAGTTACTCTCTATAGAGGAAAAACCCCCCTCTCGAACTGAGGGTGTAAATTTAGGCCCCCCGGGGCGCCGATTTCCTGCCGCAGCCAGAAACGCCTTTTTACGGCCCGGGCACCATAATGCTGAAGTCGGGTGATCTATTTTACGACGCGTCTCGTTGTCGTGATCTTATTCCGTGTTCCCAGCAACATTTCGCTTTTAAATCTTCCCTTAACCTTCCCTATGGTTATATCATTATCCCCGACATATATACAGAAGAAAAAGAAAAGGCAGTTCCATTCAGAAGTTAGGTTCAGCTGCTTTTTTTTTGCCGTTGCTGTTTCGAATCCTGAATTGAGCGACGGTCTAACAAAGAACCCAATGCGCAGATATTTATTTTTGTCCTGAAAAGGCAATTTCCTTACATTTTTGGGGCACAGAGGCGAAGAATGCAGGACTCAAGAACATCTTCAAATAAAATAAAAAAGTTGAAATAGAACGAACATATTTCTTATACACTGTACCTCGTATATGCCGTGTTACGTAAATGATGATGATGATGAAATTTGCGTAGGTACGAGTTACAAGATAAGTATCTCATCAATACTGTACAGGAAAATTCCCTATAGACATGTCAGGGAGATTGGAAGCGACCTTTGAAACGGTTTCAAAGGAATATTCTTCACTTATACTCGGCAATTTCAAATCAAATTTTCAAAGCGAACCAGATTCGAACGAAGTGTACAAGTTTCTCATCTTCCCTTGTCACATTGTATTGTTTAGTACAGACGTAAATTATTTTCCTTTATAAGGCCGATTTAATCTTACTGGTAAACCATAGTCTTTAGGTCCTCAGAAAAGATGAAAAATTACGGAAGAAACACGAATAAAATATGAGCTGAATTGTCTACGGTAGGTATATCAGAATACTGGCTGATTTTCTGCACATACATTTGCAGGGATTCCTTGCTTTATCCGTGTCTTATGACAAATCGCTTGTGTGAAATTCGCAAACCGCACTCGATTCTGCCTTTCAAACTGACGTAATGCATAGGCTTTGTATTTCCAAGTTATACTCTCCAGGCATGTTTTCCGGTGCGTGAAACTTCATAAACCAAACATAGCAGGCTTTTCCGAACAAAATCTTCAACGTGAAATGCCTTGTTCAATCTTCAAGAATACCAAGTAAATCAGGAATTATCGTAATACAGTAATGTCTCCAAAAAGTCTACATGGAAACATGTTTAAAACACTGCTCAACATTTTGTATGCAAAGAGATTCAGATGCATTAAGAAACATTTTAAACCTTTCGGAGCAGCATTGTCTGCTTCGAGAAAGTTTAAGACGGTGTATTCAGTGAAAGTCGTTCAAAAGTTCTTCAAACGCTGTCCGCCATGCTACAAAGTTCATCCAAGACCATGCGAATTTTGGGCCAAAAGTTGTTAAAGTTGTGTTTAGAAGTTTTCAAATTTGTATCAAAAATTTTGCTTGCTGCAGCACGTTTTCTTTAGCCGAAAACCGACAGACTACTTTCTGGAGAAATTTTTATACTACTGTAGTTTTCATCCGTTTTGCAGTGAATGAACTTTTAAGCTATGCATTTCCCATAAGTTCACCGAGAAAGAAATCTAGGACACTTTTCGTTAATTTTTTTTTTGGACAGTGAAAGTAAAAAAAAGACTATAATTTTGAACAGCATAGGGCCATAGGCTGTGGAATTTAAAAAGATTAATGCTGCATTAAAAATGGATGAAATTTCTTCTAGTCGCTCCCGCATCATTTTCTTTCGGAATGAAAGTACATTGCTCAATACAGGTGGACTCTCTCTAAATTGATCTTGTCTAGAACGATTTTCTGTGTACAGTACAAAGATTTTTTTCCCCCAAAAGGTTTTCTTCCCATTTTAAAAGCGTTCCCCGCAACGAAATTCTCTTTTAAAAAAATTTTCCGGGTCCCTTGAATTTCGTTGTAGAGAGTCCACCAGTATAATAATTCACCTGATCAGATACATTACTTCCAAAGGACTGTTTTGCTTTCCCGTTGTTTAAATTTCGCACCCAGCAAATTGAGCTAAACGAAGATGCAGGCAAAATAAATCAGCCACCATTTAGAAATTTTTAACCGTTTCCATCCACGCAAGATTTTAGATCTTTTTATAATTTGATGATTTTTATAATTTGATAATTTTTTATGATTTGATAATTTTTTATGATTTGATAATTTTTTTATAATTTGATACTTTTTTATAATTTTTATAATTTGATATTTTTATCATTTGATATTTTTTATATTTTGATAATTTTTTATAATTTGATCATTTATTATATAATGTAATGCATTTTCATAATTTGCAGATTTTTGATAATTTGATGATTTTTTATGATTTTATATAATCTGATGATTTTTAATGATTTTTTATAATTTGATTTCATGATTTTTTTACTTTTTTGCAAGGTCCTCCTGCGTCGGATTTCTCAGTATCAGGAAAAGACTATACATTATTAAGTAATTTGTTTCTGCTTCAGTCAATTCTCCGCCACATTATTTAGCGACATCATCCCAAATAAGTTCCGAGGGAGGAAAATGGAGAAAAATAAATGAATGTGCTGTTATCCCAATCTGACGTCGCCTGATTTAGTTCAAATGAATCATAAATTATGCTCCACAGAATTGTACTGACCACACGCCATTCGAAAATTCACCTGATCAGATACATTACTTCCAAAGGACTGTTTTGCTTTCCCGTTGTTTAAATTTCGCACCCAGCAAATTGAGCTAAACGAAGATGCAGGCAAAATAAATCAGCCACCATTTAGAAATTTTTTACCGTTTCCATGCACACAAGATTTTAGATTTTTTATAATTTGATGATTTTTATAATTTGATGATTTTATAATTTGATGATTTTTATAATTTGATGATTTTTATAATTTGATGATTTTCATAATTTGATGATTTTTATAATTTGATGATTTTTATAATTTGATGATTTTTATAATTTGATGGTTTTTATAATTTGATGATTTTTATCATTTGATCATTTATTATAATTTAATGCATTTTTATAATTTGCAGATTTTTGATAATTTGATGATTTTTGATAAGTGTGATACAGTATTCGAAAATTTTTTTTAACTGTATGATGATTTTTATGATTTTTTATAATCTGATGATTTTCGATGATTTTTTGATAATTTGATGATTTTTGATGATTGTGATATTCGATAATTTTTTATAATCTGATGATTTTTGATGATTTTTCATAATCTGATGATTTTTGATGATTTTTAATAATTTGATGATTTTTGATGATTTTTTATAATTTGATTTGATGATTTTTTACTTTTTTGCAAGGTCCTCCTGCATCGCATTTCTCAGTATCCGGAAAAGACAATTTTGTTTCTGCTTCAGTCAATTCCCACCACATTATTTAGCGACATCATCCCAAATGAGCTCCGAGGGAGGAAAATGGAGAAAAATAAATGAATGTGCTGTTATCCCAATCTGACGTCGCCTGATTTAGTTCAAATGAATCATAAATTATGCTCCACAGAATTGTACTGACCACACGCCATTCGAAATCCGCCTGTTGGCACGAGTCGCAGTAGTGCAACAAGTCGTCGCCAGGTGTCGGCGGCGACGTTTGCGGCACCGTGTACGAAAAACAGGCGCCGACGCAAACACTGTTGTCGATCTCCACGCTTTCACAGCCAGGGTGGCTCACGATCTGTCGGATCCGAGTCAAATTGCACCACGCGTGCTTCTCCGGAAACAGCACAATATTGTGCACCTTTTGCCCAAGGGAGAAAAGAAAATTATGAAAAAAAAACCAAGAAAAATACGATGAATAATTGGCTTTTCTGCGAAATTTTTTTTTCACAAATGAACAACGCTGAATCCCGGATCATTTTTGTCGAGACACAGAGTAAAGAAAGATGTGTCGCGAAATATTTCCGGAGAAAAACGGAAGTTCCCGACGACACACAGTGGGATAGAAAACTTTAAACTTGAGGAAAACATCCGAGGGCTGTTTTCTCATTTCGTATCGATCCTTTGGAATGTTAATTTCAGTTTTCTGTGGACTCCCAAGGCAGATTAATCACGGTAAAATATTTAGAAACTGTAAGGTCAGGTTATTTTTTTTAATGTTTATTTTGCTCTTCCGACTCTTCATCAATAACTGCGAAATTATTCATCATCTCCAGCTTTCAACAGATCGCATCAAAATGCGAAGTACCTTTATTTCTGGAATTCCTTCTTCTGGAATTTCCTGTTCAAAGGGCATCACCCTGCAGAAATCCTGGGCTTCATTGAAAAGGAGGTTACATTCAATCCGAGGCTCATTTCCGCAAATTAAAATTTCAGACTGATTTCTTTGAGTGGAAAAATCAGTAAGTATTTTTTTCAGGTCTTCCGAAGTTTGATGCTCGGAAAGTTACGGGGTTTCTGACATCTCGGCTGAAACTAAGTTTAAACGAAGGTTCTTTGAGAGAAAAATCTACTTCAAGTGAGGACTTTCATTCAACTTTTGTTTCGTTTTAAATATTAGCGAGGCATTGGATCATTATTTTTTTTCGGAAAATACTGTAAACTATTTTCTAAAAAAATCATCCCACAGAACACAGCATGATCTCGTACCAAAAAATAAACTTGTCGATCGAATAGTTGAATTATTATTGCTGTCTTTCTCCTGATCCTCGCCCTTGAATACTTTCATTACTGATCTGCAAAGCTGAGAACACTGTCGCGGTTGGAGACAAGCTGTATTAACGTCCCGTTTCAGACAGTCTGTCATCGTCGATTGAAACACTATCCACTGAATTTAAAGAAAAAGTGCAACATTTGCTGAGTCTTTCCTCAGCTCTTACCTTATGTTCATTTCGCTGGTCCCTCGTCCGGAGACGTGGCTAGTGCCGTCTGTGCTTTTCGGTCCTGTCGCGGTTTTGGCGGTAGCACGATTACTAGGCTGCGGTGCGCGGCAGTGATTTGAAGCGGTTTTGCTGTGTGCGCTTCAAGCGCTTTTACACAAAATCCCCGGGGTCAAGTCGAAACAAACAACGTTCAAAACAAAAGAAGATAAAAAAACATGCAATTAGACCGACAGCTTGAGAAATGAACACTTGAAACTCACGCAAAAACGAAACACGCGCAAAATAACCACACAAAAACAAAAACAGGTCGCGATGCTTCCTGGCGAAACAACGGGAAACTCTTCAGCGTTAAAACGCGGAACCAAGAGAAACAAAAGACATTTAAATGGACTCGCGCATTCGTAGTGAAGAATAAGAAGGTCTTTCATTTCCTATGCAGAAAATGAACTAAAATGTTGCCACCCTATTTTTATTTCGTGTCACGTGTGAGATTATAAAACTTGGAACTCTGTGAGTGTGACATACGTAAACCAATTCACAAGAACGAATCCCTGTGAAGAAACTCCGCTCACAGTTTTTTCTAACCTTCATAAAAAAAAAGCTTCGTCGAACTTTTCAGCTCTCATTTCATTTTTATTCAACACAAAGGTCTCGTTACTAACTTCTTGAAGTTGTATTATAATTTTGGAAAAATGCATGTGACATAAATTTTGAGTATCAAAAATGAAAATAGCCAGAGATGCCACGAAGTGGAAACTTTCAATAAATGAATACTGACGTCACTTTTTTTCCAAAATTTTCAATGAAAAAAATCACCAATTTTTCTTCACAGAATAACCTGGAAATTCACTAACTTTGTTTTTAGTAAACCGGAGAACTGTAACTTTATTTTAAAAGTTTCACGTGAGTCTCGCGTCCGGAGTTCAACTCAGTGAAAATATTTAGTGGAAGAATGCATTTTAATTTTTTTTTAACCGAAAGTAATTGGATATATTTTACGTGTTAATTGCGTCTAGGTGATGAATGAGTTGACGTAAATTAGCTGGAGAGATGTGCGAGTCCGGGTCTCCAGAAAATCCATCAAGCCACGAGATAAGTATACCCGAGGACTTGAACCATGCAACAAAGACGTAAGCGAATTTTCATAAATGAAAAATATTGCAGTCTGCAGAGAGCGAGTACATGTTGGAAAAATGCCCAAGTTCAAGGATGCTCAACATTTCTCGTTTCCAAGCATAAAAAATAATCTCATGCATACATTCAGTTTATTTTTTCAATCATATGCTTCTGAAGAGACAAAGAAGAAGCAATATTCAGGTTTCGGGTGAGATGGGAAGTACATTGATTTAAGAATATTTACCGAAATTTTAGCAAAAAAATTAGCTGCAACATGAAGCATTCTTTAATGTTATTTGCCTCCTTGGACAGAACTTAAACATTTCCCGCCAAGATGAAGATACATGGACGCATTTAGACTATGAAAAACAAAATATTAGCACTATTTTTAGACACTGTCTTTGAAAATAAACCCTGTTCGGATAATGAACCATGTCTGAAAAGAATTATGCAGTATTCTAAATGATCCCCCTAACGTTAAAAACTAATTCACTTTCACTTTCTGAAGCGTTCACTATAAAAGTTACAAGTTGAACTCATGAATTCGTTCCATCTGAAAATAGAGCGCAGCTTTCAATCGATTTTGGAGGGAAAATATTGCAATATAACCAATTTAATTCACAGCAGAGAAACATGCTGATATGTGCTTGACCTCATCTTCACCTAATCATAAAATTCTTTTTGCGTTCTAATCGTGCTTCGGGTTTTGCTTTTCAGCAAGAGCATTGACTAAAAAGTCAAGGAATTTGTGATGAAAAACTACATTTGCTGTGGTATTTACCGTACTCTGGTAATTACTCGAATGCGGTGCGATTTCTTCTAAATACTTTCTTGCAAGGAAGTTGTGAAATTGGATAAGACGAGGCAAACAATTGAAAAATTATGAGGGATTTATTTTTCCTTAATGTGGTTGCCTTAAATGTTCCCTACTCTACTTCTTCCAGGCTAAGACACTAGACCTTTACGGAGTTTACTACACGTTGAAAAAGTTTTAAGAAGGAACTTTTCCTCCTATGCATCAACCAATGTCAACTGGGGGTGTGTTACCTGGAGCCACAAAACAGATTTTGGCACAACAGACAATTGCATCTTGAGGCAGTTTTTCCTCCTGTGCAATGGACTAAATCCAAACAACAGACTTCTGTTGATTTAAAATTGATGGTAAAAAGTAAAAATTTCAATTTTTTAATAATTGAATTTGAACAACAGACTTTTCACACAACAAACTAGTATGTTGCTCAAATTAAGTCTGTTGTGCAGGGGTTGACCGTATAAGAGAAAAATGAGAGAGGAATGATCAAAGAGATATTTTCTTGAATGCGGTCGCCACACATTTCCGGCTTGACTCTCTGATGAGCTGGAGATTATCATATAAAATGAAATATTATATTCGCTAAGGTGATCCGAAATTAGCTCACCAGTGGGACATCGGCTCCTCAATTTCCTTAAATAATATTCAAAAATCATTAAATAAAAATGAAAAAATCATGAGAGAGAGAGAGAGAGAGACTTTTCAGTTAACCGACGATGCCGATTAATTGGCCACACCGCGAAGGAATTCGAAGCTGGTTTTCTTTCGCGAGACCCAGCAGAGAGAGAGAGAGAGAGAAAGAAGGGATAGATTTCTTTTCTAGTCCGCCCCTTTCTTTTCTTTTCCGCAGGGCGAAAAACGCCGGGGTTGAAACAATGGCCAGGCTTCTTCCCTTCATCGGAGGCAATAAAAGCAGAGGAGGTGGATCTTGGGAACCTGCGAGGCTTGAACCTCCAACTCCGCACCTGTTTCATCAGGACGAATCCTGGTCAGCCCTCGGGCATCGAGGGAGGGGATTTTTCCTCGCCCCGAAGAAGCTTGAACGAAAAAAGCTCTGGTTTTTCCCGACGAGACCCGTCTTCTTTTCATTGCTACTCCCCTTTTTTCTCAATCCGAGCTTTCGAGGCGACAGAATAAGATGACGGTTTTTTTTTTAAATCTCGGTGGAAAATTTGACAGAAATCCTCGTCGGAAATTTTCAAGAAAAACCTCGACTCCATCAGCATTCTTAATGCTATATTTCCTTAAATATACCCCCGATGGTAGGGATGAAAAGACGGGCGTATATTGTATGTGCGTTGAAAAATTGAAGACGAATTTTGCGAAAGACCAATTTATCTTGCATTTGACAGAAACAGAGGCACCACTATTCTAAATCCTGATTCAAAAACCGAACTAATCTTCTCGAACACTTCCAACAGGCAGGATCGAACTTTCGTGTCCTTGAATTGAAATTGGTGGCGCGGATTTCTTGTATCAAATTCAGGAATCAATATCAGACTTTATATATCTCGAGGAAATGGCAAAATTTCATATATTCTGGTCGAGGATCTGAGACGCCATCGAAAGTAGAGAGAACTTAAGACTCTTAATTTACTGTACAATAAATTGCTATTTCTTCTGTTTTCAAAGTCAATTTTACCGAAAGGAGGTGTTTTGTATTCGAATAAATGAGTTATTATGTGTACTGCTGTCCCGCAGAGTCTCGGCAAATTTTTTTCACCACAAAGAACCATTGGATAAGATTTTCCACTGTTAGTATGAAAAACGATCTAAGTTTTGGCGCTCAACGTACTTCCGATTTTACGAGAAAGTTTAAAATTTGATTATTTCGAGTTCATTTCCACGTTTTCTTCATCAATTCGCTCACACAGGTATTCTGCTCCAAATTAAATTAATTTACGCCGAACCAAAAAAAAAACGAAACTTATGAGGATCCCTCTTACTCGTATATAAGTGGTGTCTGTCTTCTAAGAAACTTTTAGAGATCCCAAAATTTCATCTCGCGGTCCCTGATTTTTGAAAACCTCGTGAAGCTATTGACAGCAGAAACACGAACTGTGTCAAAAAAATCGGAACTAATCACATCAACCTTCTCTTAGTTCCGCTCGCTACGAAGAAGAAATTGCAAGGAACTCCTCGTTTGGCCGAGTCTTGACAGAGGGGAACAGCAACAGACAAGCCCTATTTCGAATCATGCCCACAAAAAATAAAGGAATAAAACGAAATTCAGCCCACGAGATCCGTCCAGGAAACATGAACCGTATCCAAACCACTAAAGGTGTAAAAGAGCCTAGCGCAGGCCAATAAAAATGATCAACCAAATCACAGAATGGGGAAAGCTTCGGGGATATAAAAATGCTCGAAGGGGGCACCAAAAAAAATCTTGAAAAAAAATAAACAACCCTGACTGACGAGCTAGTAAGTTTTCCTTCCGTATTATAATGAAATTTCCGAATTTCGGGGCCGCTTTTGAAGTTCACCGCGCGTCAATTGAGAGCCCTGCTCATATCAATAAAAAACGTTGGGTTTCTGCTGCCTTGCTCTTCGCCTGGGCCTCATTTGTTTGGATATTATTATTTTGCTTCCTTTTCCTCAACTGACTTCACGCTTGAAGCAGTGGAAAAAATGAAGCGTTTCTCACCCCCAGGGCAAGAAAGTAAAACAAAAAAACAAAAATCCTGCGCGGAAATTGGGGAAATTCCTTCTTCGAACCCCGTCGGCCAGCAATAATGGCTCATCCCAAGTTTCCAGCCAAAACGCCTCTTTTGCTCAGAACTGTAATTACAATGGGATAGATAGATAGAGAGAGAGGCAACCTCCAAGAGTTTGCCCTTATACAACCGATGCCACGGAATTGTAAGCCGTTTGAGAGAGGCTTTGAAAGAAGAAAAAAACTGCATGATCTTTTCCACAATCCAAGACCAAAAAAGCAGAACAGCTTTGATGCCTTCAAAAACTCACTACGGTACAAATTCATTAAATTAATTTTGAAAGTTGCCTTTTTTGTACATAAAATCAGAGAGTTGATTTGCATAGACACAACCATCACTTATTACAAAAGCTGCCTCACAATTAAAAAAATTTAGGAAAATATTTGCAATGACGTGAGAAACAAGGAACCCAATCAGCAAGAGATGAAAAAAAATAAACAAAAGAAAATTACTTTTCAAGCAGCTTGTGTGTGGGAGCCGACGCAGATGTCAAAATCTGTGACGTCAATAACTTTGCTGCAACATCAAAAGGCAACGAGACCAAAAAGGGGAACTGAAATTTAAGATACTGATTTTGCAGAACAGCAGGGATTCATTTCCTTGCTGCGTTTTTTTATGCTGTCAAAACAGCACCACCAAATGGCGGAAACCACACACACCCTAGGTTGTCAACCCAAGGTGGGTTTTCCAGCCATGACTTAATTATTTTCTCTCTTTTGGCTAATCTGACCCTTTGTTTGTCACCCACATACGACAAAAGGGCCACCCCAGATGCCCTACGGGAAGAAGGCACCGAATTTTGGAAAAAGATTTTTCCTGAAAAAAATGTTTTTTGGAAAAAATTGAAGGAGCAAGAAAAATCACTTCCGAAGACGCCATTAAACTAACAAGAAGCCCAAATAAATCTGACGATTTATGCACCACCTTATTCCCAAACCCTAGAGAAGGTCAACTGTTACAAAATTCAGCCGATTGCCAATTAGAGAACTGGCTATAAAAACCCAACTCAAACCACAGAAAATCATCAGATCAATTCCGAAGCTTTGCTTGTCAAAACTCAACACCAATGTCGAGTCATTTTTGCCAAAACCTTTTATGCTTGTGAAATTTTGTATTCTCAAAACAACATGTTTGTGCAGTTTTGGGATTTAATCCCACAGTCCGTAGCGCACCAAACAATTGCAGTGTTCTTTACTCTTCTAACAAATGCCTCGAGAGAATTCCCTTACTTNACCCAAAACTTTGGTGGGACGCTTGATTTTGCACAAATGACAAGTGGCTTGGTTTGTGCGCAGCTGATTAACAAAAGGCTGCTTCTTGAATGCCAGAAGATGGGTAGAGAAATTACCTTTTAAAATTTCGAAGCATTTGAAAAGACAAAAATCTTAAAATTGGAAGTATCTAAAAATGATTACATTCAAAACCATGCAAAGACAACTATCTTGAAAAAGTGGCTATTTGTTGCTGCGGCTCATTATAAAGTCATCAGCAACATCAGTATGGAAAAATGCTAGTCTTTTTTTAAAAGAAGCTAGTTAATGCTGAGGTGTTCACTTTTTTCTTCTGATCCTCAGTCTACTCAGAGAAAGTTCTGAAGAAAATAAAAATTCCATTCCAAGTCTCTGATGAAAAAGATTAACAACAGGCATTATGATCACTTTTACCGCTCCGTGATTCAGACAGTGCTGAACAACTTTGTCAACAAATGAAAGGTTGTAAAATATTATTTTTGTGGAGGAAGATTCCAACACTTACAAATACTCTAGCTGACCTGCTCACTCCTTCTGTATAGTGACTCTTTAAGTGGCCATTAATTGATACCCAAATTCTCAGTGGAAGGAGCTGAAAAGTCTGTTCCTGCCTGCAGAAATTATGCAAAAATGCTTTCATTGGTCTCAATGTCCATCAAAAATTTGACCATGTTCACTTCATGGGCACCACGATTTTTGATTGCTAATTTATCTTTAAGATGTTTGACACAATACTGTATTACATTGATAACATAAGCATACGTAAAATAATCATGAATTTTCAGTCAAAATAAATTGGATGCAATCAAATTCTCCACAAAATAAGAAAAAATTGAGGCAAATGATAAAGATTTGCTTCAAAATTAATTTTGTCTTGCATTTGAATAAATAAGTTCATTACAGAAGTGAGCAAGATGTTTGTGCACAGAACATAGTCCTGCATTGTACAGTCGAACCTCTCCAAGACAAATTTGGATGGATCAGCAAAAAAATCACCTGTGGGAGGTTTTGACTTGGGGAGTTTTGGATTTACAGAGGCTTTGAGTTAGGGAAACAGGCATTTTTGTCCAAGGGAACATTGAAGAATTGCAGAAAATTGTAAATGGTGATATTCTTGGCCTTAAATGGCTCCTTAAATGAGTTGACTGGATAGTGAACTTGGAGGCAGGGGTTCATTTGCCCAATTGGTCCGTCACTTCCTTTAAAAACACATTAATTTACTTTTTATAACTTTTCTCTTTCCTGTGTCAAGAAAATGATAGCCAAAGGGTCAATTTGAGTTACGGAGATCTGAGATGTATAAAGCCTTCCAGT